GAATGAGGTACAGGTACAGCCTCCGCGCTATTAATACTAATAATACTAATAATATATACTATAATGAGCTGAGTTCATTAGTGAATGAGGTACAGGTACAGCCTCCGCGCTATTAATACTAATAATACTAATAATATATACTATAATGAGCTGAGTTCATTAGCGAATGAGGTACAGGTACAGCCCCCACACTATTAATACTGTAATAATGTGTGTGTGTAGTGTGGTGTCTGTGTGTGTGGTGTGTGGTGGTGTGTGGTGTGTGTTGTGTGTGTGTGTGTGTATAATGTGTGTGTGTGTGTGTGGTGTTTGTGTGTGTGTGTGTGTGTGTGTGTGTGTGTGTGCGCAGGTTCTCAGTGGAGCTCTGAGAGTGGTCCTGCTCTGTCTTCTCTCTCTCTGTCTGAGAGGTGCTGAAGTTCTGGACCGTCTGAGAGGAAATGAAGTTCCGGAAGTGAACCCTAATACTCTGGCTTGCATCATCAATGACCTTCACACCAGGTAGGAACAGAGCAGGTTAGCCTAATTTTACTAATACCTGCTTATTGTTGATGAAGGATCAATGTGAAACATCAGCATTACAAGACTGCATATTGAATGTTGACGTTTGATTAGGTAAGAGTTTTCGTACAAGGCACCAAAGTTCTTTGGATTGATGCCACAGATCAAGTACTTCTGCTTTCCTAAAGACGATTTAAATGGACGGTTCTTTAAAAGGGCCATTTTTGTAAAAGGTTCTGGAGTGTGAAGAACACTTTTAAAGTTTAAAGAACCTCCACATAGTCAGAAACATCTATGCAAAAAGGTTTTACTATATCCATTCAGCCAAGACAAGAACCAGTTAGGAATCTGTTTTGAAGCATGTAGGTCCATCCTCATAGTCCTCACAGTCTGATTGGCTGAAAAGTGTTCTATCTCTGTTTACTTATCACAAATTGCAGACCAAGAACAATAAAGTCTTTACTATAAACTGGTGAATTTACTATCTTGGCTTGCTTGGTATGACTTTGTAAAACACTGTTTTCAATATGTTATGATGGATAAAATCATGGATGTGTTGATCTACTGTGACTGAATCACAGCTTCAATGATAATAAACCATCTCTGTTGTTCTGCTCATTAAACATAAAGTATATGTTGCATGTAATTTACAAAGCTCATAAAGCTTTTATTCATCATAATATCAAGAGTATTTGTGTCAGTTGTAATGCAGAATACTGTTGTGTTTGAATATATCTTTAGGTACAATCCACAACATGGACATCAGTTTGCACTGGCCATCAATGTTCCAGTTCATTACTGTGTGAATGAGGACTCTAAACTTGATAAAGATTTTCTCAAGAATGATGATCCAACTGATGCAATACAGGCTATGAATAACGATGACAGGGTTTATGTAGGGACGTCCTTGATTGGTGCAACAAAAAAAAAAGATGGCAAAACTCTGTACCACTCTGAGTATCTTCTGCTGAAACAAAAGAAACCAGATGAGACCCCCATGCAGATGCTCCTGAAACAAAACAGAAAAGGTTGTGTGATCTTCTACACCTACTACAGCCCCTGCCTCGGCACTTGCTTAAACCCTGCAAATAAAAAGTTCAATATTTTCACTGCTCTCAAAGAATTTGGAGAGCACCAAGGTCCTAAAGCTTTGGTTTTCAGGGAACTTTATGGTAAAGAGGAGAGAAACCAATTTGAAAAAGCCTTTCAATCTGTAAATAATGAAAACGTTCCACTTTATCGCTGTGATAATACTGTGTGCAACAGTTGTGTTGAAGATGGAAAAGTAAAAGCTGAATGTCTGCCTCAGAGATCGTGTTATTTAGCCTAGATTTTAGTGGACGACTGCTGGACGCCTGAAACTTGAGCTTTGTTCATACATGCACTCATCAAACACATGTTTTCTTCTACACTTGTACTTCTTCTTCCTCTTTCTACTCTTACTGCTCTGCATTAAAGCAATCAGCACAATTTATCTTTATCAATAAATGAGCTCATACAGCTGCATCAAACAGTGGTTTATTTTTATTGATTCTAAAGCGTCTTGGGGCTTTGGGGTGTTTATGGTCTTGTGGAGGTTAATCAAAACTAGGTATGTGTACTGAAAGACCCGGGGGGGTGGGGGGTGCTGTGTAGTGCTGTGGTAGCAGCATGTTTTACACTTGTGTGATGTGAGGCATTTTTTTCCTTCATTTTCAAGCTAATAAGAACACAACCCTACAAAAAAATAAGGTCTGAACTGCTGTGATGTAAATTTCTCCTGATGATCATTCAAACACCAAGAGGAAGAAGACTGGCTTGAAGAGAATTTCAGATTGGCAGACTGTACTGGTACTATACCTACAACAGCCTCTTCTTCCTGCATTACATATGATGTTTGATGAATCCCTCTTCTGTGTGTGGAAAGAAGCTTTAGTTTGTAATCCTGCAAATAATAGTAATAATTTGAGGCGGTTGAGATTCTAATCACATGTTCGTATTTTAATTTTTATGTGTGCAAATTCTATTTCTGATATCAAGAATTAAAGATTTTACAGCGAAAATGTAATTTTCAAATGTGTAAACTGAATTACTGAGATTAAGAAATATAGGAAATAAAAGCTGAAAGAGTTATTCGAATTTCACCAGTCAATTTTTACTTATGTGAGACAAAAATTACCAAGCATTAAACTTTATTAAAACAATTAAAAGATATTATCAATTTTTATATGTTCTTTTGATTGTTTTATTAACACTTATTATCTTTCTGAGAAAAAACTAACTTTATTCCTCGATAAAAGTTAAAGCACTTTTACCAAAATATTTACTTTGTTGCCAGCCCTTCTTCTCTTAAAATATGTTTTCCTGTTTCTGAGAATTTCTTCGGGGAAATTTGAGAATATTCTTCACATCAACTGCAGCAGGCAATGTTTCATTTGGAGTTAATATGTATGACCTCATTTACATATTGGTTTTGATTGACTTTTGACTACAACACTGGTGAATTGAACACACCAGCACTCTAATTACCACAGACATTATGAATAACAATGTAATATCTAAAGCTAGATATGTTCCTTAGCGAGTGTGTTAAACGTTCACATTGATTTCGCTTTTTTCAAACAGTTAACACAGCGTTCACTGGACGACTATGTAAAACATCATGAAAATATGTTATAAAAGTTGATTTATAAAATGATATATGTTATAAATTATTTACAAAATATTATATGTTACATGTTATAAAGGCATCTTTGGAGGTCTTTAGTCAGAGCATGGAGAATCAGCTCTTCCCAGAGTGAACAGCCCCGTTTCTAAAGTCTGTTGTGCACTTTTCAGAATTTTCTCAGGAGGGTGTTTAAAGGAAGTTTCACTTTCTGTTCCTGTCCAACGATTAATTCTGGCTCTATATGGTTCCTGTTTGTCTCCTGCATCCACAGTAACTTCCTTGGTGAATGAGGGAAGCTTGTTAGATCTTCACTCTGCCTGTGCCTCATTTTTTCACCCCTGGATCCAGACCTCAGCCGCATTCTGTGAAGTCTTGTCTTTATCCCTCCATGGAAATGTGTCTCAATGACAGATTTAGATGAGATTCTTTTATTGTCCTCCAGACAGGAAATTCTCACAGCCTGTGCTGTTCATACACTGTCCCAGGATATACAAGATCAGACATTTGAAAAATTACATACATTTGGGTAAACACTGTCAAGACAAAACAAAGTACAGGCAGCAAGACACATTCATAAGACACACATTTAAACCCATGAGGCCTGTATATATACATTAGATACTCTCTTTGAGGGCAAGCTTTAAAACATCTATTTCAATGGAGTAGCTTGTTAAGGGCTGATAGGGCTGAAGATACACAAAGCAGGCTTTTTTAAGCACTAATGTTCTGTATCTCTGGCCTGATGGAAGTGAGGTAAAGAAAGAGTGCAGTGGGTGATCTGGGTCTTGGACTATTGTAGTGGCCCTTCTTAAAATAGCCTTATTGTTCAGGTTTGACAGGTTGTGTGTGGAGAGGCCTATGATTTTTAAGGCAATATGTGTAAATGCGTAACCGTTTGTTGATGTTTGACACTTTTAACATTGTAAAGAAACAGGCTGAACAGTACAGGATAATAGGCTCAATTATGCTTCTATAGAGGAGCAGGAGCAATGATGGAGCAACAGCAAGTGCCCTTAACTTTCTAACTACAGAAAACTCCTGCTGACATCTCTTATATAGGGGTCTATTACATGTTGGTCGAAGCTGATTTTATTGTCCAGATTGGGTCCTAAGTACTTAAAACAGTCTATCTGTAATGGTGGAGGCAAGGAGGCAGGAGGCAAGTGCGAATTGCTTTTATTCAAACTAGAGTTAACTGCAGAAGTCCGAAAAACAGACATGTCCATGACAAAAAACAAAAACTACAAAATGAAAGAAAACAAGTTACAGAGTACATCCACAATGCAAGACAAAGACTGAACAAACACAGGGGTATAAATGCACAGAGGAGAAATGAAAAACACCTGGGACTAATGAGGGGCAGAGCACAGACAGGTGGAACAGATAACAAGGGGGCAGCACTAGGGAGAAGATACAGAACAACAAAAGCACATGGTACAAGAAAACAAAAAAGGCACATATCTACAACAGAGGGGACAAAAGACACACTGAGAGGGACAAAGGGAGAATCTGTGACAGAACCCCCCTCCTAACACGCAGCTCCCAAAAACAAAAGCCACCCAAAGAGGGAGCCGGGTAGGAGGAGGGACCAGGTAAACATATGACAAACTATACAGGGGACAGGACACCAGACCAGGGTCATACACTAAACTGTGTAAGGGACTGGACAAGAGACATCGAAGAAACAGGCAGGAAACTAGACAGAGGAACACACAGGAAATTGGATAGGGAAATGGACAGGAAACTTCTGAAAAGACGGGACATGAGACTGGACAAATGGTTGAATGCGAGACTGGACAGTAGACTGAACATGGGACTGGACAGGTGATGAGATGAAGGATGAGACAGATGAGACGCAAGTGGAAAGAGACGGAACAAAGGGCTGGACAGGAGATGGAACACGCAACTGGATAGGACCAGACAAGGATAAGACTGGAAACAAAAGTGGAGAGAGAACAGGAGACAGGAGAGAAGCCTGGACAGAGGAACAGACAGTGGGCTGGACAAAAGACTGCATAGGAGGCTGGAAAGATGGCAGAACAGGAGATGGAGTTGATATAGACATGGGGACAAGAACAGACATGGTTACTGGGACAGGGACAGAAACATGGACAGGAATGGGTACAATAAGACGAAACACAGAAACAGAAACACTGATTGAGATGGGTACAGATATATACATGTTTACAGGGACAATAACAAAACTATGGACTGGAGGCTGGACAGACTTGGGGGAACACACAGATTTAAGCAGTTCATGTAGGCAAAGGAACTGGGTGGCAGACTGAGCAGGGAACTGGAAAGGCAAGGAGAATGGTACTTGAGCAGGGAGCTGGGGAAACATTGCAGGAGCAGGACACTGGACGGCTGGCACATGAATAGGATGCTGGGAGCCAGTCACTGGACACTGGAAGACCGGCACTGGAGCAGGACAGGAAATGAGAAAAGGATTGGCTCGGGGTTCAGGAGCAGGAACTGGGGTGGCCTGGGGGGCAGGTGCAGGAATGGCCCAGGGAGTAGGAACTCGGGACATAGGGACTGGAGACCCTGAGGCCACGGGCAGGTCTGGAGATAAGGAAGCTATCGGCAGGTCGAGGAGCTTAGCAGGGATGTCCTTGGCTGCAGGCGGCCCTGCTGCGACATCCTCGGCTGCAGGCGGCCCTGCTGCGATGGCCATGGAAGCTTCTTTCTCTTTACCAGGGAAGAACAACTGAAGCCGACGCAGCAGATGGTAACTCTCCTGAAGTCTCACCTCATTCTCCTTAATAAGTTCCTGCAAACTCGCTGCTTCCCTGTGTGGGAACGGTGTAATTCTGTAATGGTGGAGGCAAGGAGGCGGGATGCAAATGCGAGTTGCTTTTATTCAAACTAGAGTCAACTTCAGAAGTCCGAAAAACAGACATGTCCATGACAAAAAGCAAAACTACAAAATGAAAGAAAACAAGTTCATCCAGAGTACATCCACAATGCAAGACAAAGACTGAACAAACACAGGGGTATAAATGCAAAAAGGGGAAATGAAAACCACCTGGGACTAATGAGGGATGGAGCACAGACAGGTGGAACAGATAACAAGAGGGCAGGACCAGGGAGGAGATACAGAACAACAAAAGCACATGGTACAAGAAAACAAAAAGGCACATATCTACAACAGAGTGGACGAAAGACTCACTGAGAGGGACAAAGGGAGAATCCGTGACACTACCACCTCCACATCCTCCCCTACTTGTCAATAGTGTGGAAGAAGGTAGACAACATTATAATCTGACAGGCGCAGGTATGCTCGTGCACTATATGCCTGGTTAAAGTTCCCATAACACAAGTCTAGAGTGTTTTCCAGTCTTGTTGGGATATCCACATATTTATAGAAAGACCGCAGAAGAGGATTCAATCTGCACCTGTTAAAGTCACCCATGATGAGCACTGGAGCTCAAGGGTATTTGGCAAGCATGTTCTTAACCACCTTGCTCGCTAGCTCTGCCACTTCTCTATTGTCAGTGCTTGGTGTAGCATAGGCACAGCTTATAACAATAGTAGGAATTCTCTCGGGAGCTAAAAAGGATGGAGGGAGAGAGTCAGCATTTCCAGGTTTGGAGTGCAGATCCTGTGGTGGATTTTTATGTTGGTGCACCATTGGTTATTTACATAAACACAGACTCCACCACCTCTATCCTTGCTGGATTCTCTGGTCTGGTCCATCCGCAAAACAGTAAAGTTAT